TAATGAAAACTGTATCTGCATTTTGATTCAGCAATCCCACTTCTGGGAATATATCCAAAGGAACTGAAAACACTAGTTCAAAAGAACATAAGCACCCCTACGTTCATTGCAGCCTTATTTATAATCATCAAGATACGGAAGCAGCCCAAGTGTCCATCAGCAGATGAGAGGATAAAACAACTATGGGACATTTACACAATGGAATGTTACTCAGCTGTAAAAAAGAAAAATTAACTCTTTGTGACAGTATGGATGGACCTGGAGAATATTATGCTAAGTGAAATAAGTCAGTCAGAGAAAGACAAATACCATCTGATTTCACTTATATGTGGAATTTAATGAACAAACTGAACCAACAAGGAAGACAGAGGTGTACTCATAGGTAGTGAGCAAGATGGTAGGTAAGAGGGAGAGTTGGGGTTAGGGAGTGAAGGGATAGAGCAAAAAGGGAAAAGGACTCATGGACATGAACAACAGTGTGGTGATTGCTGGGGAAAGGGAGGTATAAGGATACTACATCACAATGGAAAAAAATACAAAGCATAAAATTAAATTAAATATTAAAAAAGAAAATTAGAAATAAAAAAATGCATTAAGGTCCATATTCAGAAATCTCTCTGCCCATCCATTCTCCATCTCCATTCCTATCTCCATTCTCTACCCCATGGAGAAAATGTGGCAATACTGTGTACACTAAGCAAGGCATGAAAGATATTTTCTGTTGTAAAACAACAAAAAAGCCTTGGAATTTAAAAGCACAGTATCTATTACGAGAATAGGGGTTGTTAATTTTTTTAAAATGGAAGCTACTGGATCGGTACTGCTTCCTACCCTTATGCAGCAGAAGATCAGCAGTCAGGAAGCAAAACCCCTTGGATTCAGTAGCTTCTGCAAGCAGCAAAAACCTTGGGTATCGGCTTTGACTACAGTATAAGAATGTTGTGAACTGAATGTTTTGTTCCCCAGATTTTACATGTTAAAGCCTTAAGCCCTAATGTGATGATATTTGGAGCTGGAGCCTTTGGGAGGTATTTTGATTTAGATGAAGTCATGAGGGTGGGCAGTATGATGAGTTTACAATCCCTCTAAGAAGTGGGAGATCAGAGCTAGCTCTCTGCCAAGCGAGGATCTGTGAGAAGGCTGCTGTCTGCAGGCCTGACACAGGGTCCTTTCCCAGGAGCCAAATGAATTTACACCTTAATCCTGAACTTCTGAGTGTCTAGAGCAGTAGGAAAAAAAATCTGTTGTTTAATCCACCCAGTCTGTGAATTTTGTTATAGCAGCACAAGATGAAGAAAATGGACATTAAGACCAAAAATAAATTTCAAGGTCCATCAAGAAGTAAAAGCTAGTAGAACATCTTCACTAAAATCTAGGCTAATAAAAAGTTATTTTACAAAGTTTATCACCTTGTAAAATTAAAAAAAAAGTGAACTCCACCATTCAGAAGAGAAGAGCACCAAAAAACTTGCTCTTTTTGATGTGTTGCTGGATGAGAGAGCCTATCTATGTCTATCTATATGTGTTTGTATATACAAGTTTCCCTTGCTATTCAAAAGTGGAGTGTTCCCATGAAACCTATCATAAGTCGAATGGCATAAAGCAAACAAATGATTACCTAAGGATGCAATTTGGTAAGAAATGTACAAAATAAATGGAGCTAAAACACAGAGGCTCACAGACACAATTCAAAGCAACGGCAGCTTGACGCTGAGAGGCTGAGTGTTGTTTCTAGGGAAGGAACGTGATATCACTCTTGCCGCTCCAGGTATGTGCTGCCTCTGTAACAGTTGCTGCAAAAAACAAACACTAAATACTATTTTCACTTTTTACCTTTTTTTGTATAGGCAAAGATCATCTTTGGATTTCTTTTATTTAGTGAAAACAGCTACAAATATAAGTCTTTCATGAAAATGAAGTGGTGATAAAAACTTTCAAAACATGGGGAATATCTGTATATACATATGTCTATATGGCATATATGAATACATATAAATTAACTAAGCATTAATGTTAGATAAAACAGACACTGTAGGAAAAACATTACTATAAGGAAAGAGAAACACTTCATAATAATAAAAGTTCAATTCACTGGAAAGATACAGCTTTTAAGTTTTGCCTAATCATATAACTCAAAATACATGGGGAAAAAATTGAAGCAAAAAGAAATAAATAAATCCATAATTACAGTTGAAGTTTTAATATTCTTCTGCCTAAATGACAGAACAGCAAACAAAATAAAATAACTAAAATTAACATACTTAGCTAATAAAAAAAATGCTGTACCCACAATTAAAAACTATACTTATTTTTCAAGTATTTATACAATGTGTACAAAAACTGGCTTTTACCAAACGTCCATAATGCAAGTCTCAAAGTATTTCAAATTATTGAAACCATTCACAGCATGTTCTTGGACCATAATACAATTACAAATAATAAAAATGTAACTAGAAATTTTCATCCCCTTGACAATTAGGAAATAAACAGATGTCAAGAAATAAATCATAATGAATTTCTTGAGGTACAGTAGGTTTTTTAAAATAAGGAGGAAAGCCCAAAAGTCGAAAACACAGTAAAAGGTAATTAACAATGAAAATGTATGTACAGCTGAAGGCAACTTTAAATAAGTTACAATCCAGAGACCCAGGGGGCAAAAGAATTACATTTTATTTAATAGAAGAGGAATGCAATTCCACACCATGATAAAGCACACCAACAAATCAGAACAAGGAAGGAAATGAACCACAGAAAAATGAGTATGAAATACCAGACAAATCACAGAATAAAATGGTAAATGACCATAGTCATATTAAAAAGTACTCAACCCACCCTGGTTGGCATGGCTCAGTTGGTTGGAGCGTAGTCCTATAAGGGGAAAGGTTGCAGGTTTGATTTCGAGTCAGTGCACATGCATGGGTTTCAGATCTGGTGCCTAGTTAGGGTGCAGGGGAGAGGCAACCCATTGATGTTTCTCTCTCACATCAATGTTTCCCTCCCACACTCCTTTCCTTCCCCTCTCTCTAAAAGCAATAAGCATGTCCTCTTGTGAGGATAGAAAAAAAAATACTCAACCTTATTAATAATTAGTAATTACAAACAAAAATAAGAATAAGATAATCCTTGCCAATCATAGTAGTAAGTATTTAGAACGGATAATATGGAATTGGAGGGATTTGAAAACAGCATTCTCATACTTTATTGGCAGAAGAATAGAATGCTTTCTGTAGTCAGTACAAAAAGATATGTGCAAGGATGATGACTACAGCATAATTTATAATAGCAAAAAACTAAAAATAAAGTACACCCAGATTATTAGATCAATGATACAGTTTTGTATTAAAGGCCTGGAGAATTCCAAGATTCGTCATCAGAAATAGTTTGTAAAAAATAATCCTATTTATGTAAAAAAAAGATACTATATAAATGTGTGTATACATATTTGTATTGTTAAAATTAAAATCAAACGGAGTTCAGCCTTGTAAATTCCCTTAGCAGAGAAAACCAGTGTAGTCATATAAATAAAGCTTAATTAATTTTGCAAGACTAACTTGACCTGAGTCATTGCTTGCTTAACCTCTGGAAATCATAAGCAAACAGTGAACTGTTTCCCAAGGTTGATATGAGATAACCATGGAAAATTCTAATATAACTAATCACTGTACAGAATAAACAGTCACTGCTTTCTCACTATATAAGCTGCTTGTTAATATACCTCTGCACCTCATTCCATATTTTGGTTTTAGCATGCCCAGTTTGCAAACTGTCTTTTTGGTGACTGCACAATAAACTTTTACTAATTACTACTTCAGTGAATCATTGGTTTTATGCTTCTAAACTTTTGACAGTATAATAACATTTACTGAGTGCTTATCTGTGGCAGGCACCTTTACATATTTGATCCTCCTTAATCTTCATAAAAATCGTATGCTGTAGATTCTGTGACTACCCCCATTTTACCCACACAGAGACTGTCAGGTAACTCTCACAAGGTCACAGAGATGATCAGAGGGATGAGAAGGATGAAAATGCATAACAGGATTTGAACCCAAGTGGCTTGGTTTTCTTCCCTCTTTTTTCCAACTGATTTTGTGATTCTCTCTCTATTCCTCTCCTTTCCTACTTTCTTTTACTATCCTCCCACTTACCTCTCAGTTAATTCAAATTGCTAACCATGGTTAACAGTGTAATGGAGAGAATAATGAGAAGGAAGATGATATAATTTACTCTTTTCCTCTATAATTAGTCTTTTTTATTTGAAAGATTCTGTGCTTTTTTGTAAATAAAGAAAATTAAAGAAAAAAATGAAAAACAGTTCAATTCAACAAATATGTATAGAACGGTCAGTACTCACCTGGTTGCTTTGTCTCCAAAACACACTAAAAAACATCATTTGACAAAAAGAAAGAGACCATGAGCTGGGGAGAAAAGGTGCGTGGGAGAGGCAACCCATCCCACAAGGGCTGGTCCATGCTCACAGGTACTCAGCACGCGGCCAGCTTCCGGGCTTTGGAAGGTCCAAGGGTTGGAGGTCAAGCCAGAGTAAAGCAAGTTCCGCAGGCCAGGTACCGAGCCGCAGGCAGCCACCTCCAGGTTAGTGACTTTCCCGAGTTCCAGCTGGTGTGGACCTCCCAGCTCCTGGCTGCCCTTTGCCACAGAGCCAGCGTCTTTGGTAGCCATTCCAGAGAGCAAGAAGGAGGGCGGTGGTTTCGCGGCAGCTCTCCCACCCACAGGCAGTCAGGCAGGGCGCAAGGCAGGACCACGGCTGCCCTGAGGCCGGACGTCTTTCCCGCGTCCTGGACGTGGCACCTGCAGATGGAGGCCTGGGGGCAGTCGGAGGGGTGGGGAGGCTACTGAGGGCGGGGGAGGACTAGCATTGTGTTTGCGTCCCAGGGTAGGGGGCGGGGTTCCAACGGCTTCGGGAAGCCACCCAGAAGTGGAGCCAGGGCTCAACAGGCGCCCCAGCTGCCCAGGTGGTACCGCAGGCGCCGAAAGTGTCCATGGCGAGGAGATCCCTGCCTGAAACCACCCACCGGCTGGGCTCCCCTAATGCATCTGTACACAGTGCGCCAGGGGCATCTGCCAGTCTATTGGGGAAGTTAGAGGCGGCTATTAATAGAGCCTGCTAGCTGTCATTTACCAGTAAATACTTATTAGGAGTATGACTGGAACTACCCTAGGCACCCTGGGACGCCAGAATTGGAAACATAGAGGCAGTTTGTAGATTAGAGGCCAAGCCGTTATCTCAAGGGCCCTCCTGCCTCCTGCCTCTACTACTTCATATCTGGGGACTCTGAATTCTAGGCAGTTTCTTCGTAGACCTTCCTTCCTTACCTCAATTCTGAAATGGTGTGACTATTCAGAGTTACAAGGGTTAGAGTAGGACATGTACTAGTGTAACTCTGTTAGGGAAGGGTCTGGCACTGCACAAGTACTTAGTGACAGCTTTTATTGTTTCTTTAGAAACATTTTTTTATAGAGAGGGGAAAGGAGGGAGAAAGAGAGGGAGAGAAATATCAATGTGTGGTTGCCTCTCAAGTGCCCCCTGCTGGCCTGGCCCACAACCCAGATATGTGCTCCAACTGCTGACCTTTGTTTCACAGGCCGGCATTCAATCCACTGAGCCACACCAGCCAGGGAAGATTTTATTGTTTTTAATGTTTGACAAAATCTTTGCTTCTCCAAATTTACTGACTTGTTTCTGTCTTATTTATCCATTTAGTCTTGGAAGTCTGGCATGGCCACTTCCTAGTTCCAGGGGATAGGCAGGGGACAGTTGTTTCTCCTAGTTTAGCAAAATAAGGGATATGGTTAGTACTGTACAAGTGTCACTTGCTCAGTGTCACCTGTCAGGTGATTTGGGATCCCCTTTTTCTCTCTTGGACTTTTGTAACAGCCAAAGTTCCTCTTAATACCACCCTGGTGAGCATGACAACTGGAGGACCTAGAAGGCTGAACTAACACAAAGGTTGTGAAATGAGTGGACTTCTTCACTTGAGCAGACAGTAGCATTTGAAATAGCCAGGTTTTAAATTAAGCAGCCTTCAAATCTGTAAGGAATCCATTCTTTCTGACTGAAAAGAATGAAATAATACGGTACACACATTGTTGAATTAACAAGCACCAATTAAGTGCCTTGTCTGGGCCCAGCCATGCTCTGGCTTTTGAGAGTTTGTAGTGCAGCCGGAGAAGGAATGAACGTGTAAGGATGGTCTCCTGGGCACCTCTCCATCCTCATGTCTAATGATCTCTGCCTCTTGGGCCTGTAACCCGCAGGCCTTGCCTTTCCTTTCCTTGAATGAGAAGGGCTCCCTCAGCCTCACGACTTCTACCCATGTAGTTACCTCTGTCTATAACCCCACCCACTCTTCAAACATGCTTCTTTCAGCGCTGGGATCTGTCTTCCTTGACACCCCTCCACCTAACCTGGTGTCTTTATTACTCTTTATTATAGCCTCATTAGATTTATTTATTGCACTTTGAGTGCTTGTAATATGATATTTAATTTTTATTTATCCTCCCCCTCCCCCATTTTGTTCTAGTACTCAGTATAGGGACTTGCGGGCTAATAACTTTGAAATGGAAAGGAGAAAAGTGAATGCTTTTCGAAAACAGCAGAATTTAGTTAAGGATATGGAGAGGTTAGTTGACATTTTTTTACCTCTTATGATGACACAGTAGGAAGAGGGCAATCAAGGCAGGATAGGGCCTGAAAAGGGTTAGGAATGATTAATATTACTGTGTATGTCCAAGATAAATCACACAGGTAACAGAGTTTTTGTCTTTTTTGTTAATTTTAATTAGTAGGCATATAGGGGTTGGTTTTAAAGTGGAGAGATAGGAAAAATAATGACTGGATAGCAGTGGGAAGGACTAGGATGGGATCAAGGCACTGCATGGCAGGAGTGCTGAGCACAATGTTTTGTTTAGTTATTTGTCTCTTTTCTATATAAATAAGCAACACAAAATTTCCTTTGGCTTGTCATGGTGTTACAGCACCTACAATGCCTGGGAGGAAGATTGCTAGCTTCTCAATACATTCAAAAGCATGTATTGATTCACAGAGTAAGGGTCAGGCCTACACAGATTTTGTTTATGCTGGGAAGAACATATCCACAAGACATGGGATTTCTAGAGATTTTTGTAGTAGTATGACCTCATAGCTAATCTTTCTCCTCATGCCAGACCATGCCTGGAGTCCAGCCTTAAGGCTAGGTGCTAGATCACATGCTCTCCTTAGGTTGTACAATATATGAAAGCTCAACTTGGTTACTGTGTGGGGTGTTACGCCCACAGTGTTTCTTCATGACTTTTTGCTTCATTGGGCCCTCTCCTCACAGGTTTTAGAAATTGTCCACCATTAAGTGCTGAACAACAACTTCTAAAGTCCTACTCAGAAACAGCAAAGAGAAGGGTCAAGCTAAAAGAATTTAAATGGCAATATATGAATAGATAAGATGAATAAAAAGAAATATACCACATGTGTGACTTCATAGTTACAGAGTATCTTGTTTCAAGAGTGATATTTGACCTATAAATGTGTAGATAATGTATTAATAGCAGATTTTCTTTTTCAGAAATCTAAATCATGGATAATCTGAGTGAGTAACTTGCTTTGTGTACTTTCCTTCCTAATTGTTAATTCTGTTATTAACAAGTTAATAATAATATTTTATTTAGTTTCTGAAAGGATCTGATCTCAGAATCCAATGCCTAGTTCAGTATTTGAGAAACTATACACAAATATCCACTACAGCTACTTTTCCCTTTAAAAAATAAAAAATAAAAATCTTAGAGAAAACTAAGATACACCAAGTTTATTGGGAAATAATTGAACTTATACTATATTTCATCCAGATCAGTTTTCACTTTTCTAGTGCACTTTATATACATAAAGATTATTCAAATCATACTAATTAACAGATAATAACTTTAATGTGTCAGTTCATTGTAATACAATTCTCAGCTAGATCTCCTAATGTATCTTTCATAACATATATAAGTATATAGTTTTAAATAAAGAGCAATCATTATGCTCTAGGTTTTTTTTCTATAAAGAATATTCTAAATAAGATGGATATTAGTCAAGCATGTAATAAAATACATATTTTACAAAGTTAATGTTCTAAAGACAAAAAATACATGTTAGGGGAAAATATCAAGAACAAAATCCTGAGAAGAACAATGTTAAAGAACTGATGCTAACCCAACAACAGGATGTACTTATATAGCTACAACAATCATGACAGTGTGGTGTTGTTAAAAGAACAAATAGATCAATGGAACAAACAGAGAGCTCATAATTAGACACCATAAATATTGTCAACTGTTCTTTGACAAAGGAACAAAAGCAATATAATGAAGAAAAGACAGTCTTTTTAACAAATGCTGCTGGAACAACTAGACATCCACATGCCAAAAAAAAAATGAAGACACAGACTTTACAGCTTCACAATAATTTACTCAAAATGTATTATAGAACGAAATGTAAAACGTGACACACTAGTAGAGATGACATAAAGGAAAATCTAGAATAGCAAATTTCAACCTTTTCATCTCATGGAACATAATAAACTAATCACTAAAATGCTGCAAAACTATATTTTTTTACCCATCTGACAAAAAAAAAAAAGAAAAAAAGAAAAAAATAATTTTGATTCCTTCACATCAGACAACTGTTGTTGTGTTGGCTGTTGTCATTTTTTTATTTGACAATGTAAGGGAAAAAAAGTCAGTACCCCTGACTAGATAGTCAGGTACTACATGTTTTATAACTTCTTGCAGCACACCAGTATGCTACAGCACACCAGTTGAAAATTGCTGGTCTCGATGATTTTAGGTATGGTGAAGCCTTTTTAGATAGAACATGAAAAACACATCCCACAAAAGAAACAATTGATAAGATGGACTTCATTAAAATTAAAAACTTCTCTGGAGAGAATTAGAAGACAAGCTGCAGATCGGAGGAAATACTCGCAAAAGACACATCTGATAAAGGAATATTGCCCAAAATACACAAAGAAGTCTTAAACTCAACAATGAGAAAACAAAAAGCCTATTAAAAATGGTCCAAATAACTTAAAGGACACCTCACCAAAGAAGATACACAGATGGAAAATAAATATGAAAGGATGCTCCACATTCCATGTCATCAGGAAAATACAAATAAAAACAAGATACCATTGTGTACTTATTAGAATGGCCAAAATCCAAAAAAACCATTGACAACACCAAACGCTGGTGAGCATGAGGAGCAAAAGAACTCTCATACACTGCTGCAGTTAATGCAAAATGGCACAGCCACTTTGGAAAACAGTTTGTCAGTTTTTTATAAAATTAAACACATTCTTACCATAAAATATCACACTCCTTGATATTTACCTAAAGAAGGTGAAAATAAATCCACACAAAAACCTCCTTGATGTTTATAGTTGCTTCATTCATAATTATCCAAACTTAGAAGCAAACAAGATATTCTTTGGGAAGTGGATGGATAAATACACTGTGGTACATCCAAGCAGTGGAATATTATTCAGTGTTAAAAAAGAAATGAACTATTAAGCCATGGGAATTCTTTCATGAAATTCCATGGAGAAATTCTAAATGCATACTAACAAGTTAAAGAAACAAATCTGAAAAGGTTATTTACTATACAATTCCTACTCATGCCATTCTGGGGAAAGGCAAAACTATAGAGACAGTTAAAAAGATCAGTGTTTACCGGGGTGGGTATTACAGGAAGGATAATTGGGCATAAGATATTTAGGGCAGTTAAAATACTCTTTATGATGTTGCAATGATTGCAGTACATCATTATACATTTGTCCATACCCATAAATTATTCAACATCAAGAGTAATTCATAAGGTAAACAAGGGACTTTGGTTGATTATAATGTTGTAGCAATGTAGGTGCATCCTTGGGGACGAAGAGCCACTCTGTTGAGTGATGTTGGCAATAGGGGATGCTATGCATATGCGAAATGGGGTGTATGGGAAAGCTCTGTACTTCCCTCTCAATTTCGTTGTAAACCTAACAAAAATTGTCTTTTAAAAAAAGTACTTACCACAGGAAAAAAACTTTTTCTGAAATGATCTTTTTTCTCCCTTTTATCTTTATTAATATAGCCAAAATGATGTTTATTTCTCACCACAACAACAGCCTTGCTAGATTTATTGGATACTCTTAAGACCAAAAATCTCACCTTTTCCTCATGTAGTTTTATCATCTTCCCTTAATCTTTGCTATATTGACTTCATTTTATTTATTTATAAAATGCAAAGTGTATCAAATGTAAATTTGTGAAGTATTAAGCTATTTTATTTGCTACAAAATTTAGGATGGTTCAAATCATTTAACAATGATATATTTGGCCACGCTCATAATGACTTTTTAACTCTCCAGGGTCATATAAACAATTCCATGTTTGTATGTATATGTGTGCAAAAATAGAAATAAAATGTATGCCTGTGTGTAAACATATATAAAGGTTAAAAAAATATTTTTAAGACAATGTGGTAGATAGTCCTGTTATTCTTGTAAGTTATTTTAACTCACATCTCCACCGCCCTAGTGGTTCTTTAAAAATACAGTCCTGGCTGGTGTGGCTCAGTGGATTGCCGCCTGTGAACCAAAGGGTCGCTGAGTCGATTCCCAGTGCAGGGCACATGCCTGGATTGCGGACCTGGTCCCCGGTAGGGGGCGAGCAAGATGCAACCACACATTGATATGTCCCTCTCTTTCTCCCTTCTTTCCCCACTCTAAATAGATAGATAGATAGATAGATAGATAGATAGATAGATAGATAGATAGATAGATAGATAGATAGGTAGGTAGATAACATCTTAAAAAAATAAAGAAAAATAAAAATCTCTTCACATTACAGTCAGTATTCCGAGTCTGTTGGCTTCCCATTACTTTCAAGCTGGACGCCAAAATGTTTAATTTGGACAGCGGGTTCTCGCCACTTCCCTTTAAGGTCTTTTTAAACCTGGCTCTCTACTGTTTGCATAGATGGGTCTTTTTCTCTGGTTTGAAAGGCCCTATGTTTGTTGCTATGCCAGGGCTTCTCTCTGAAATGTTCTTTCTGTGCCGCTGGCATCCTTATCTCCTTTTATCCCTTAGTCCTCAGGAAAGCTGTCCTAACTCCTTCCCTTTCTCCTCATTCAAATACCTTCCTTTGAAAAATATAGGCATAACACTGGTCCCTTCTTTCAAATGACTTATCTTAAATTCTAATCAATCAATTAATTACTATAGCGTTGTATCCCCGTACAGTGAAGGTGATTGTGAAGTTCCTGCTCCCATTAGGCAGTGAGGGCAGGATTTTTATCTGTGCTCCTCATTTTAAATCCCAGTGCTCAGCACTCCTAAAACTTCTTAAGATCAGGGAACTCACTCTTCTGCTTGAAGTCCTATAGTGCCTGTCACAGACACACTTGGAGTAAAATCTAAACTCCTTACTAAGGGGCTCCCTAAATGAACTGCCCCTATTTCTTTACTGACAGCCGCTTCTCTTCTTTCTCTCCCTTAAAATGTTCTTCTCTTTCTCAAAAATGCCAAATTCATCCCTAAATTGGGGACTTTTGCATTTTGTTTTCTTTCTTCGTAGAACATTTCTCACCAGATTGTCATACAAAGCTTTTCCCTTGTCATCATTTAGTTCTCAACTTAAATTTTACCAATTTAAAAGCAAGTAGTTGATATTTTCCCCTCTTCCCATGCATTTTCTCCATCAGTTCAATCTGAAATCTTTAAAACAAAAACAAAAACAAAAACAAAAACCTTATTTCCTGTCTGCCATAAGATGCTTGTAAGCCCCAAGAGAGCAGGTTGGGTTGTTGATATCTGTATCCACTGATTCTAGAACAGAGTCAGATTATAGATTATCTGTAAATACTTGTTTGTTTTAGAAAGAATTAATTATAAAAACTGAAGTTTTTAAAAGACCGCAGTATGAGGTTTAAGCTCATTTTTAGTCTTACTTTTTAATTGTATATGTATTTTTCATCAGTGTTCCATTAAGAGCATTTACAAATTGCATATTCTAAGTTAAATTTTTGCATAGCTTTTACTGTTAAAATATTATGAAAGCTAGTTTTTTTAAATATTGTGGAGTACAGTCCCTTCCAATTATATTCCATTGCCATGCAATTGTTACTCTGTGCACTATACATATAAGCTATGAAGCTTCAGTATATTCAAAAATCACAATGAATGTAGAGTATAACTTGTGAAATTTACATGGAATGTAGAGTATACACAGTATACACTGTGCTTATTAATAATTTAAGACAGTTTTGTTTGTTATAACATTTTTATCTACCTTGGTTCTCAGTTCTGTTCCCATAATGCTCAAGGTACTAAATTGTGAAATTTAAATCTGTAATCTTAATACTATAGTGAACTTTTGTTTTCATGTAAATTGTCTCAGGAATGGGCTACCCTATGGTTTAAAATTTTTGCAGATGTTAATCCAGAAAAGTATCTGGAGACTAGTAAATGGATGACATACCTTTACCTCTATATCAGGGTTTCTGAACATTGGCATTATAAGATTTTGGGAGAGATAATTCTTTTTACTTTTCTTAAAGATTCTGTTTTGGGTATTTTAAGATATTTAGTAGCCTTCCTGGTCAGTATTATCAACCTTTCCTTCCATTTTGACAACCAAAAACACCTCCACACCTTGCCAAATATCCCTTGAGGAGGCACAACTGGCCCCAGTTCTGTACATATAAGAGATGATGTTAGAATTTCAAAATATAATTTTTATGAAGTGTTTTGGTCTTGGAAACATTGGCTCAAAGTCACTATTATGGGCCCTCTTCCCAATGCCACCTCTCTTTTCCATGAAGAAATTCCAGAATCTTTATGTAGGTGACTCTAGATCATTGTTGATTTTCTTTCTTCCTTTTTTTTTAGATTTCAAACGTATATCTAAATTTTTAATAGCAACGGTAAGACTGTAAAATGACTTGATTCACATTCTACCCCCCTCAGAATGGAAGTGTATATGAAGCCACTGATATTTAATAGAGAACTTGCTGAAGGACAAAACTCAAATTTTAAGCCTTGTTGAAACAGTATTCTTGAGCTGAAATTTTAGTTTATAGATAACTGGGACAATTCTAAATGTATTGATGTTTCTGTTTTTCTTCCCAGATACAAACTATTTTACTTGTTTATATTTCAGAACTTTCAGGATGTAGGATCCAGCCTGGCCCCCAGGACGCCTATCCTGACCCCCAGGATAACAACTCAGTCCCAACACCTAGCCATTCCAGTGCTGGTTCAGTAGGCTTTCCTATCCAACACCAGCCGGTGTATAGTCAGCCAGCTGAACCTTTGGGGCCTACGTGGATGCCAGCACCACTACCGCCACCAGACTGTCCTCCAGGGTTGGAATATTTAAGCAAGGTAATTTCAAATACATAAAAGAGTCATAAAAATAAAACCAAGCTTCCAGTTTACTTTTTAACAAATGACTAATTTGCAAAAGTCTAAATGGTAAAACATTTTTGCTAACAAATTACTCTAATTCTTCCAGGTCAGGTTTACTTTTAAATCAAACTACAAATGGCTTAGGAAATTGTGTTTTCTATGCTGTTGAGTATAATCTGTGGTAATAGCCATCAGCAGAAATCTATTAAGCACCATTGTCCAGGCTTTGTTCCTAAGTATGATACAAGTATTAACTCATCTGATCCTTTCAAAAGCTTTAGGATATATAGGTGCTATAATTATCACCAATTTACAGAAGAGGAGATTGAGGTCTAGAAAAATTACATAACTTGCTTAGCATCAAAATGCCAGGGAAGTGGGAATGGTTTTTTACTTGTTGAACCTTGGTATCCTGGGCTCTTTAGTCCTAACACCAAGTAATTTGCTAGGAATTGAAAAGAAAGATCAAACTCAATTTACTGTTGAGTTCCAATAAGTGGTACCAAAAAAGGAATTAATATTTTGTATATAATACGATCCACTTTTTATTTTAATTAGTAAAATTGTATTTTTATAATGCTTTTGTTCTATGCAAAACCCAATTTTATAAATACTACTGTCAACTGATAGTCATTAGTGCTAGTTCAATGCCAACCAGAATCCTCTATATTGGGTGCAATGAAGAAGGAAACTTAAATCAATGCAAACAACTCAATTGAGATTCAGCATTGCTATGGAACAGCTCAATAGTGTTACAATTAACTATGAAATAGCACATCTGTGGAACAACATGGCTGTGAGGCAGCCCTTAGGCGAGGTACCCCAAGGGCGAAGCCTCTCTTTGGCTAGACAGTTCTGCTCCATCCCAGTCCACTTAGGTCCAGTGTGCTCACCTGCTCTTCTCTGTTCCATTCTCAGTCTTCAGTGCTTGGGGAAAAGGGAAATTATGCTCCCTGAACTAGAGTAGAGCTGACTAATGTAGAAAGAAGTCCCTGCCATTTGTCACTGATTGGTCTGTTCTCATGCAAATGAGGTCTCTAAATCCTCACCCCTTGATTAATCCTAAAAGCTGTCATGTCCTTATTGGTCAGAATGGAGCTCTTCTGATTGGTCAATAAAGATACCGAAAAGAATATAGCTGTGCAGCTCTGAATGGAAAGGGAAAGTCTCAGTCCTATTGGTTGAAATACAGTTTTAGGAATTCCTTTATACAGTCTGGCTCAGATGAGAGGAACAGTGAGGGCAGGCAATTCAGTGTGGGAGACAGAAAGCTCAGTGCAAGCTTCTCTCTGAATTGTGGTTTGCATAAGAGGCCCCTGTTTAGAAGCAGCTACCAGGCTCTTTTTAAAAATTAGATCCCAGTTAGCCACCAGGATTCCTTCTTGATAGCAATCTTCTTTCTCAGAATCAACATCACCAATAAAAAAATAAAATGTTGGATTTTAACATATAGCATAATAGTTTATCTCAGCAATGTGAGGTTTCATATTTGGTATTAGGAATCTCATAGATAAAGTAGAAATTCTAATGTGTTCAATCTATAAATAAGTAAACAAATATTTACATAATAGTCAATCACTTTTCAATAAATTGTCTATTTTGTACTTTCTTTATCAGTTTGATTTCCCATAATGCACTTGAGCAGCATATTTTATAAAAATTTAAGTAGTTTACATATTCAACAAATAGTCTAAGTAGACCTTTTATTAAATCAGGACTCACAAAATATGTAGGACAAGTCAGTGTTTACTGCAAAAAATTATATCAAGATTACTTAAAATTTTTTTATATTTATAAAGTTCCTTAAATGCATGGAAAGGTCTTCCTGTCTCCTAAACATCTTCAAGAAGGAATAGTGTTTTCTTATTTTTATAGAGATTCCTGTCTAAGTCATTTGCCCCCCTCAATAGTGAACACATTCAAGATCCTTTTTAAATTATAAATTATTTAACTACAGTTTTATGCTTAAAATTAATATAAAGTATTGTTAAATATTGAGAATATTGATAAATATTGATATTTACATGCATTCTTAAAAATATAAAAATGGTTCTTAATTTGGTCAGCTTAAAAAATGTGATATGTACTTAAAGCTAATTTTTTTTCACTATATTAGGTAGATAAAATACTGATTCATCAGCAAGTTGATCTTATGGAAGGTATGTATTTCTTCTATTATCATTTTTCCATAAAGCATAGACATTTATGCAGATAAAAGCACATCAGCAACCACAAATATAACAACTTTCACTGATGGCATTGGTTAGGCCTCATTATTTACAAATGTCTCCCTTCCTGATAGTAAAGTGATGAGGATGATCATCAGCTTATAGCTTTAAATTAGGAGTCAAGCAGTGAAATGCTATTTCTTTGGGCATCTGTCCTCATGATACTGACCCTAATTTAGAAAGAAAAGAAATACAACTTATGTTTATTACTCTTTCTATCTAGAAATCACTTTAGTGATCCTATTAGTTTACCTGCCTGTGTCACTTTAGCTGTTTTCTCCCCAATTTGTGATAACCTTGAGATTTACACAGAGCCACATGCAATAGTTCATGTTATCTTAGAACCACATATTAATAATTACCTTAGTACATATCCAAAGCAAGGGAACTTTTTAAATTTGGATGGCTATGTTTTGGAAAACCACATATTTACCCACAGGTTCTCCTTGAAGTTGAGATGAAGCCTATAAAACCTCTGTCCCATGGGTTGTTAATTACCCATTAGATGAAGCAATGCTGCAACATTAGTTGTGCTGACCAGCAGGCCCAGTGGCCTAGCTTCCTAGAAGAGCACTTGTGATCATTCTACATGGCACCTTTGAAATACCTACGAGATGTTTCCAGTACTTCCCAAGTGCAGTAATTATTTTAGAAAGCCACTAGATGTTTCAGAACCCCTGAAAAAGGGAAAAAAACCTGGGTAGATCCATTAACAGTAGTGTTGCCTTGGGAGCTCCAAGATGGCAGAGGAGTAAGTGGAAGTTACACTAACTAACCTCCTCCCAGGACCAATCTGGCATTACAACAAAATTGTAGAGAAAACATCCGGAATACCAACTGAATAAGAGCTGGAGGGAGCCTTATAACCAAGGATAGACAGAAGAAACCACTTTACTACAACAAGACTGGAGTCATCTTTCCTAGACAGAATACTGCTCTCCAAGTGGCATCAGCCTGAGGGAAGTAGTAACTCCACCCACAGAAATTACTCTGTTCCATCAGTGGTGCTTAAGCTCAGCTGCTGGTTACAGACTGATTAGTGTAACAAACTGATCAGTTTAATGGTTGACTAGTTTTAACAACTAAGTCAGAAAATACAAAGAAACAGCCAAAATGGGAAGACACAGGAACAGAATGCAAAAATGAAAAAGAGAATTCTCCAGAAGAAGAACTAGATGAATTGGAGGCAAGCAATTATCAGAGAGTTTAGAGTAATGATAATAAAGATACTCAACAGCATAAAAAAATATCTAGAAACCATAAAAAAGAACCAGTCGGACATAAAGAATGCAACCTGAAATAAGTAATACACTGGAAGGAATAAACAGTAGGTTAGATGAAGCAGAGGATCGGATCAGCAATTTCGAAGACAAGGTTGTAAATAACACTTAAGCAGAACATAAAAAAGGAAAAAGAATTTTAAAAAATGAGGAGAGCTTAAGAAACATTTTGGGTAACATGAAATAGTACAACATCCACATCATGGGAATACCAGAAGGCGAAGAGAGCAAGCAAGGGATCAAGAACCTAGTTGAAGAAATAATGACTGAAAACTTCCCTAATCTGGTGAAGGAAAAAAGACACACAGGTCTAGGAAACTCAGAGAATCCCAAATAAGTTGGACACAAAGAAGCCTACACCAAGACACATCATAATTAAAATGAAACGGCTTAAAGACAAGAAGAGAATCCTAAAAATCTGCAAGAGAAAAGCAAGTAGCTACCTACAAAGGAGTACCAAGGGGATGACTCATCAGAAACATTTCAGGCTAGAAGGGAATGGTGCGAAATATTCAAGATGATGAAAAACAAGGACCTCCAACCAAGGCTACTTTAACCTTTAAACATGAAAGGGAAATAAGGAGCTTTCAAGACAAGAAAAAGCTAACAGAGTTTGTTAGCACCAAACAGAACACTGCAACAAATGTTAAAGGGCTTACTTTAAGAAAAAGAAAAAAAAAGAAAGAAAAAAATATCAAGGAAAACAGTCTAATAATAAAAACGGCACTACCTAAGTGTCTATCAATAATCACCTTAAATGTAAATGGCTTAAATTATCCAATCAAAGACAGGGTAGCTGAATGGATAAGAAAACAAGATCCATATTTATGCTGCCTCCAAGAGACCCATCTCAGATCGAAGATACACACAGGCTAAAAGTAAAGAGATAGAAAAAGATATTTCATGCAAATGCAAAAGGAAAAAAGTTGGGGTAGCAGTACCTACATTTGACAAAATAAACTTTAAAACCAAGGCTATAGTAAGAAACAAAGAAGGACACGACATAACAATAAAGGGAACAATCCAACAAGAGGAAATAATCCTAGAAAAAATTTATGCAACCTATATAGGAATACCTAAATATATAAAGCAAATCTTGATGGATATAAAGGGAGAGACTGACAGAAATACAACCATAATCAGGAATTTCAACACCCTATTGACTTCAATGGACAGACCTTCCTGGTGGAAAATTAACAACAGACAGCAGCCTTAAATGGCACACTAGATCAAATGGATTTAGTTGATACCTTCAGAGTACTTCACCCTAAAGCAGCAGAATATACTTACCATTCAGGTGCACATGGAATGTTTTCTAGGATAGTCCAATATTAGGACAAAAGACAAGTCCCAGTAAATATAAACAGATTGAAATCATAACAAGCATTTTCTCTGACCACAATGCAATGAAACTAGAAATCGATTACAAGAACACTGAAAGATACACAAAGACATGGAAGCTAAATAACATGTTATTAAATAAGGAATGAGTCAACAATAAGATCAAGGGAGAAAACAGATACTTTGAAATGAATGAAAATGAAAACACGACAATCCAAAATCTGTTGGACATAGAGAAAACAATCCTAAGAGAGAAATTCATGGCATTACAGGCCTATCTCAAAAAACACGAATAAATAATCTAACTCTACACTTAAAGGAACTTGATAAAAACAACAAACAAAGCCCAAATGAATAGAAGGAAGAAGATAATAAAGATCAGAGCAGAAATAAATTAAATACAGTCTAAAAAATGACAGAAAAATCAATGAATCCAAGAGCTGGTTCTTTGAAAAGATAAATAAGATTCGCAACCTTTAACCACTCGTTGGAAGAAAAGAAAAGGAACCCAGATAAATAAAATCAGAAATGAAAGAGGGCAAATAACAACTGCTGTTGCGCTGCGTGGCAGCTAGACGGGGTGCGCTGCTGTTGGGGAGTGCCACTGGGGTCGTCTCTTGTCCCGGCCCAGGCAGCAACCGCGGCCAGGGGGAAGGAGGACACCTCAGGGAGCACAGCGCTCCCTGAATCTGAGGGAAATGGGCAGGGACCAGCTGAGATGGGAGCAGGGCTCAGAATCCCACAGAGCCCGTCCTGGGGTTGTCACGGATGAGGGAAATAAACACGAGTCGTCGCAAACACTTCTCTGTGGGAAGAGCAGACGTGGGCACTTCCCTCTTGGTGGAGAAGCCTGTGGCACATCCATCTAGTGGAGACGGCCCCATTGCCCTTTGTTCCAAGGCTTTTGTTGAAAAGGTTATCAGTGGGGCTAGGTAACAGGAATGTGTAGGTTATCTCATTACATCAGTATGTTAATGGTCACAGAGAATAGATGATACTCTTAATAAGACAAATGGCAGGAACACACTGATTTATATGGATCCAAGAGGAGACTAGTATAAACAAGAGAGAGACTAAACTTGAGAGCAAAGTAGACATAAAGGCACCTAAGAATACAGAGTAGGGTCTGTAAATAATGTAAAAGTCCTTCTCAGCATGAACTGGCCAGAGCGTTGAGGGAAGAACAAAGCACACTTTAAAGAATTTACTTTTAGGCCTGATTTCCCTGGGAATCGCCAGGTCTGATTTAGGACTGACCCCTGCACTGTTTCAAGTCTGAGGCAGGCTGGAGGAGGGACCCACCAAGAGATAAGGAGACTGCTTTCAGCTAGAATGAGGGCTCCGGCCATGTCCAAGCCAAGCCGAGAGATGTGGGCCTTTTTGCCCTTTCTCCGTGTCCCCCAGTTTCTTGTCTGCTGCCAATAATTGACTGGGATAATTGACTGTCCCACCAGCTACGCCCCTGCTGGTGGGACAGGCTGTGTCTCTTCAGGAGCCTTTTTCTCCAAGGCCTCCAGATTATTTCCAGCCTTGGGGCCCCCCAGTCTGTTGACAGTGTTACAGTTCCTGAAACCAGACAGGATGTTTCCCAACAAATTGACAGCAAAGAAATGCAAAGAATTATAATAAAATATTATGAACAGCTATATGCCAACAAACTGGACAACCTAGATGAAATGGATAAATTTATAGAAACATATAATCTTCCAAAACCAAATCAGGAAGGATCAGAGAATCTGAATAGACAGATTACACCTAGTGAAATTGAAGCAGTAATCAAAAGTCTCCTAACAAACAAAAGCCCTGGACCAGATGGCTTCACAGGTAAAGTTCCCCAAACATTCTGAGAAGAACTAACACCTCTCCTCAAACTGTTTCATAAAATTCAAGAGGACGGAAGGCTCCCAAACTCATTTATGAGGTCAGCATTATCCTAATTCCAAAACCAGATAAACACACTACAAAGAAAGAAAATTATAGGCCAATATCCTGATAAACAATATATTAGCAAACCCAATACTACGGATCAAAAAGATCATAACTATGATCAAGTGGGATTTATTCCAGGAATGCAAGGTAAGTACAACATTCTCAAATAAATAAATGTGATTCACCACATAAACAAAATGGAGGATAAAAACCACATGATCATATCAATAGATGCAGAAAAGACATTTGATAAGATCCAGTACCCATTTGTGATAAAACTCTCAGCATAAAACTCTCAGATAAAAACTCTAAACATAATAAAGACAATATATGACAAACCAACTGCCAGCATCATACTCAATGGCAAAAACTACAAGTGTT